ATTCACCATGTTCTTTATAGAAAACCGATCAGAATACGATCGGAAATGCGCAAAATTGTTCGTCGGAAAAAAATTTGTTAACAGAAATCCAAGAAGTGGAAAAAAGGACATCAAAAGACGATACGCCAAATGTTGTGATGTTCACGAATCCTATGACTGGTATGAAAAAACGCATGAAATTACAACATTTACCTCGATCGTTTGTTGAAGCAGTGGGTATTAAGCCAGGTCAAACTGTAATTATCAAACGTCGGATACGAGTGGCTAAATCAGCGCGAAATCAGGTAAACCTTACAGCTACTGGCTTCGTAAGCTTAAGGGATACGCATACGTTCGCCTTTATATGTGGTTGGGTGGGAACGTAAATTCATGAAGATTGAGTAGAAGTCACGCGGAAAATGAGTTATTGTCATTATGATTGAAAAAAGAAAAGTTTCACATCTAAATATACTTTTTTAGGCAGAAGAATCTGACACTATGGAAAATGTACTGGAAAAAGAAGAAAACCTTTTGGAAAATACAGCAAATATATGTTGAAATATACTGATGAATGCTTTTTCGAAATATTTCATTTACAATTTCCTACCTCACAAAAGAACATTTTTTGAAATTAAGCAACACCATCTTCTGCAGTCTGATCTCGATACTTATCTCTCGATACTATATCAGATTGAATGCAGCAGTTGGACTTCGTAAGCATAAAAGGGCTAAGGTCGCTAAAGTCGAAAAGTGTGATTACACGTGCTTGCTGGTAAGATACTTCAAACTGCTTTCTTCCATTTGCCGAATGGGTTAAATGGAATGATTCGTTAATTGTTATCAGGAAATTTATGTCATTCTTCCTTATACACATTTACAGCCATCACATTCTGAAAGAAGTCTTTAGGTCCCGCTGAAATCCTCAGGTTTTATCACAACCTCTAATTAAATACAAAAATGCTTTATAAAGCAAATGAAGAAAATAGAAGCATGACAAAATACGACGAAAGAAGAAACAAAACACTGAAACTGAATGTAAAGGAATAAAAAAAGAATATCATCAATATTTTGGGGGGATATTTCGCACAAGCAACAAAGAACTTCCGCATTTGAATTTTTTATTTAGCTCAATCAAACTGAAAAATCAAAAATCTTATTTTCCTTGTTCTTCTGTTCCTTTTTGTTGGCAATACAAACAGTTGTTCCATTACGTCTTTTTGAGATCCATCCTATTTGTAGCGCTTAGTTTCTTTCGTGTTTTTTCTTGCCTCTCACTAACGGCGAATAAATACTTCCAGCTAGACATGATAATTAATACTGTACAACCTGAAAATGAAAACGATATGAGTGAGGAGAAAATAAGCTGAATGGATCTGCAATTTCAAATTATCATTACGATTTGTCTTTGTTCCTGATAGTCATCTCTGCAACCAATAAACAGTTGGATTTTTTATTTTAATATGCGCATACTGATCTCTATGTATTGCATAGTATCCAAATCGGAGCTTATTTCTCTTTAATTCCATGGAAATGGTATTAACTGCAAATTTTAGCAGACTAACCAGACAAAGCAATCTGTATGTAGAGGGCAGCTGATTTTTTCAACAGTTCAGTGTAGAAAATTTCGAAGCAAAAGAAGACAACTGATGTTATCGAACAAATAATATGCAACACATGAAGTGGGACGCAATCGAAATAATAAATTACGAAGAGGCGCAGGAGCAGTATTGTCCAGTAATGGATAAAAAATGATGCTGCGATAGGTGTTATGTCTAAAAATGGCATACTCTGGATGATGGCAAGTTCGCGTGAAGTTTGTTTTTACAGCCATCACTGCACACACACACACACTCCAAGAAACGATTTCGTCCGATAATTAACCTGTTACTGTAGTTTTACGGCGCAGCAAGACTTCTGAAAAGGTTTTCGGCTGGATACACTGCTGAAGATTTCCAACAAGCTGTAGTACAGTAAATGCTAACCAAGCACGGACGATGTTTTGGATTTCCATTACTGTGCCATCATTTTCTCGAGGACATTTTCCAAACAGAGAGTGATTTCACACCATATCATGAAAATAATCTGAATAAAAAACTAATGTCTAGGCATAGCATGAGAATTTCAAATCCAGTACATGACAATTTTAAGGAGAAAAGGATGGCAGTCTTGGAGGAGAGGAGAACTCTATCTGGATATGAAAACAAAAAATTCCAACTTCATACAAAACAATGTTCCCCGCAACATTGCATAATTCTATTTACGTCTTCCGTATTATTACGGATGGCATACAAGAAATTTTCCAAAATCTTCATCGAACCTAGCTTAGTGTACAATATCGTCAGATCTAAAAAGACAACGCTTAATGAGATTCTCGACAAATGATATCGGTAAAGCAAGAAAGGATCTCTAACAACCAGACACTTGTTGCTAAATCCTTCAGAGCTCTTGAACTGCCTCCATCCACCTTAATCCTACTAAGTTCTAAAAATACCGCCTCAAACCCTGATTCAAAATCAAGTAATTTTTGAGGAAGGTGAATTCCTTTCCGATACTGCGGAAGCTTTTTAAAATTGTTAACTTTATCTTTACTTGAATGCAATTTCAGATAAACAAAAAAGTTCACAGGGACGAATGGAACAAATCGACACATTGTTCATAAATAGTAAGGCAAACAAAATGATATTTGATAAGCAAAAATAATCGGCGTGAATTGTTTCTTGCAATGATTAAACCAAATTATTCACTTAAAAAATAAATTCAATTTCCTATTCTTTCCTTATACAAACTGACAGATTATACAGTATTTTTGGCCTGCAATGTTATATCCGTTAGTTAAAATGGCTGTCTTCACATGAAAAGATTTCACATAAAAAGCTATATAATCAATAATTCATACCCAGTGAAATCATGTGCTGTGGGAAATCTCTTGCAATAAAGAAAACTTGAAAAAAAGGACGATAATATTCAAATGACTATTATCGATGTATTCGCTGAAGAAAAAAGCATGATATCAGGAATACCGTAACTATTCATCCTAGGATCTGTGGAATTTTTGTATGTCAGAATCTAGCATCAAAAAAATATTGAAAATAGAAGGCTACATTGATGATAATATGAAATAAAATGAGGTGTTCATCGTGCATGAAATTCTCGACATGCAACCTCAAAAACAAGAAAGAAGTTTAGAAAATTTTTCTATTGGAAACAGTGGAAAAATGAAGTTTGCTGAACACATAACAATATCATCACAGCTTCATAAATAAAAGAAACAAATTACAGTGAGTATCATTTAACAAGAAATTTGAAATCCGGCTCCTATACTCCCACATCTAAAGATCAAATAAGAAGCAAAATCGTTTCTTACCGTTTCATAAAACATCCATACTAATATAGTATCGTAACAAAAACATGACAACTCGAATTATACGTGTATGTATGCCATCGTTTGCTAGTGATATCATAAATTGATTAACAGTAGTAGCATTGAAAAATGAAGCTTAGATGTCTCTAATAATGACTGGCAAAAATCAACTAGCATTTTTTATGGTTAGCGGTTAAACTTCACTCAATAGTAGAAGGATGAATTTGATTTGTATCTGAATCATCCGCATTAAAATATGTTGTGTGTGAGAAAGAGAGCATGAGAAAGGAAGCCGGTCTAATAAAACTAAACAACACCTAAGCAAAAGAATATAAAACCCTAACTGTAATATAATGAGCTTGAACTGATATGCTTCAAAGTGATTGTTGAGATTGTTTCATATCAAAATTTATCTAACGATTATAATGAAAGAAATTATCCACAAAAATTTTGGCAGAAAATCAAAAAAAGAGACCAACATCTTCCAGCTTTAACTCTGTTCATTGATCTCAAAATTTCAAATAGCTAAACAAACAAGTCACACTTTCAAGCATTTCCCGGAATTTCGTATTCTTCGCTATTTTCATTCAACAAGTTCAAACGTAATAATTTGGTGAAACGAACAGATCCGTTAGAATGGAAAGCTGATCTTCACTGAACTGCATCTTGTGTTCATGCCAACTATCTTGATGAGTACGCTTGAATTCGCTTAATGCTTTTTTCACTGCATCCTAAAAATAATCTTTTTTTCATTTTTAAGATGATTACCACGCAAAAAATGAACCTCCATGTTTGAAAACATCCCTTTTTATTCTATCACTATGATTAAAAAGATAAGATAAAACAAATTTATGTTCAAAAACGCTTTTTCTAGATTTTTCATTCAGAGCGACTGAGGCCAACAAATTATGCGGTTTTTGTGCGGACACAAGTACTACCTCCACAGAATAAATTTAAATAATCTTACTTCCTGAATAGTTTATTAAAACAGCAGTAATATTGGCAAAAATTGCATCTGCATATAATAAAAAAATTCGAAAGTTAGGAATAACTTTAGCAATTCACTTGAAGAAGAGTTTTGCCTCATCCCTTGAGACTGGGAAAAGAATAAAACAGCTTACTTGCATCGGTTGTTTATCACAAGTATGACGGCAAAGTTGCATCAAAATTTTTGGTAAGAAAGGTGGAACAGTATATGGAAATGCCTGAACAATAGCAGAAAGGGCTAAGACGCCCGCATGTCGTTTTGTACCGTTTTCTTCCCGAGACCAATCGTAAAATCGTTCCTGAAGACCTCTGCTCAAATTATACGAAAAGCATACAACGTCAAAAAGTTATTAATTGCTTGATATATTTGCTAAAGCAACGGATCGCTGTTACCCGCATAAGGAATTTAATCAGTACTTTCCTACTTGTTTATAGTTTCTATATTACAATTTATGTTCAAAAAGGTAAAATACATACAAATATACAACTTACAATAATCAGGTGATCCACATCGAAGAAGTGACAATGGATAAGGCCCGACAGTGTTGTAGCAGCAGCTTCACGCACTTCAAACTTGGGATCAACTATCATGGAACAAAGTATGTCTTGTAATACTGGACGATGATGCAGGAAAAGGAAAAAATTGGAGAATATAGCAACTTGTAAATACTTTAGCAGCGAAACTTTCGGCTTCCACCATGAGGTAGCAGATGAAGCTAACTGCAATGGAAAAGTCCAATTCACAAACAAGTATTAATATATAAGTTATTTAAATGATCAAGAGATTGATATCACTTCTAACATTATGAATTAATCTGTCTTAAGCAAAAGTGGGAAGCAATAATACTCAAAACATTATTACATTGTATGCTTATAAGAGAATAATTTACATGCATAATATTGGGCAATTATTCATTTTCTAGTGTAAGTTGTATACTTAACTAATCAGAGCGTATGAGTTTGGCTGTTAGGACTAAGCATCTACAGTTACCAGGACATGACGATGCTGACCTCTTTAACGCCACACAAAACCATTTCTACATTCTTTGCAGTAATCAATGTTTGTGACAATCCTTGGCGCAGCTGATCATGACAACTGTTTTTCAGTTCTTCATCGCTGAAACGAATTTTGATTTCGAAATAACACAAAGGTCCTGATCATGAACAGAATTATCGCTCCATAATTCCGTCATGCACAAGTCAAACCGTC